TTTTAAAGGTGGGTTGGTTTTTTTGGTGGTAATACTGTAAATGAGATGCTGTAGTTCTGATAAGGAAATCGCCTATTTGAAAAAGTTGAGCGATAACTGGAACACCAGAACTTCTGTAGTTGTTAAATTAGCTGTAGCTGAAGGGCAAGGAGGAGTGGCTGAGTTATGCCGGAACAAGTGGGTTAGTAAATGGTAAGGAGCAGTGCATTTGTTCCTGTGTAAGATTCTTAATTTACTGTTACATACTTAAAAGTTTTATAGAAAGTTTTGATACAGGCTGGATGATGTTTTTCACAAAAATTATAATAATACTGGGGTCTTTTTCTTGTAGCCTAGCTTTGACGTATACCAAGTTCATATCTTTGTATGTTTTTTCTAGTTCTGAGTATTATGAACTTTTTTGTAGGTTTTGGTTTTTTTAATCATTCGCCTCAGGGTATGAAGTAGTCGCTGACATTTGGGAGCTGAAGCATGTTGTGAGCTAGAATCAAGAAAGTTGGCAAGATTGAAAAACTCAATAAAAGGGAACGATAGTAATGGAAATATCTTTAAAGTAGTGGAGAGGTGGATTTTTTAATTTTCTGATTGCAGTGATGTAATTTAAATTAGGAGTCCGAAAGCTGCTCTTTTAAACCATCAAGCATCAGCTTCTAACTGGAAATACTGACCTTGAAAGTGGATGCCATTTCACTGTTTACAGAACTTGACTCCATTGCACCACTGCATCAACTACCTTTGATTTAAATTCTCTTCCGCTATTTTTTTGTGAGTGGTAGGGGAGGCTGTTAAACAGTGAGACAGGAGCTGCAAAACATCTTTAAAAGCAGAGCTGTAAGCTGAACTGTAGAAAATTAATTAATACTCTTCAGATACTTGAAATACAAGTCTTAATACATGGTCTATTGAGATTTTGCCACAGAACTGTAGCCCAAGCAGAAGTGCTGATCAGAGATTGTGTCCTGAATTATTCCATCTCTCTAGTGCAAAACATTACTGAAGGCCACTGTAAACAACATGGTTTTAGTTAAGAAGCTGATCCCAGGATGAAAGATAGATGTAATCAGCTACAGACTGTATGAGGAATTCCTCATGAGGAATTAACGGCAAAGCTTTTCATAATCTTTCATGCTTTGGCTAAAAATATTAGCACCATAAAAATTCTTCAGGGGGCAGAGTTGAGGTGGTAGCTGCAGAGTGATCAAAACAGAAGAGGCACATTTTCCCTTTTTATGGGGAGGCCTCTTTCAGACCTGTCATATGATGGATTTGAGAAGAAGGTTTAATGGACTCTCAGTTTCTCAGACAGCCATCTTTCTACAGCTTCATTATTAACAGCAATTTAATCTTAGCCAGCTCTCTTTTTTTTTTTCAGAGCTCTTGATAATTCGTTTATTGGTTTAGCAGTAATATAAGAAAAAATACTCAGATCATAAAGTTAAGGAAGTGTTCCATATTAAAAAACAGTGTAAAACCAGTCTCAAATAAATTTTGCAGAATCGTTTACTCCATAGTTGTTTGAATTAAAATGTAACCAGTGTAAACAGCTTGTAAATAGTGTGAATGGATTTCATAGTTAACCTGTATGCAACAGAACGTGAGCCGTAATTTTTCCTTCCAGCACTATATGAGTAACAGTGATGCCATTTTCATGGCTGATGTATGAAATATTTTTCAACGAATGTTCATGGTATAGAGGCCGTGTTGTTAATGTGTTAGAAAATGAGACCTGGGACGCGAGTGGATGTATGATAGCTCTTGGGAAAATAAACATGTAGCATTAAGTAAAATAAAATTTCAAAATGTGTGAATACATCTTTACAGGGCCTGATCCAGAGCCATTAATGTTCTTTAAATTTTTCACTTCAGTTGCAAGGCAAATGTACAAGGTTCTTGATTATGCCAGCTATTTTAGTGCTCTGTTGGGAATGACACAGACTAACTTTGCTTGCCTTCAGAAGTCCAAAAAAGTGGCAAGTTCCCCACCATGACCCAAGCCTTCTGAGTTTACGTGGGTGCAGCTCTGTCTAGCCGCTCGACTCCAATGGGTATTTTGCATAGGGAGAAGTAAAAGTCTGAAACTTCACCTGTTGAGGCTCTTTACGGGGCCAAGTGGTCCAGGGACAGTCCTGTGTATTTTCTTGAAAGTAAAGACTGCCAGCAATATGGGCTGCTTTCTCGTAGGTTCAGAGCTGGTGGTAGCCAACTGCTTTAAACCTTAACTTTCCTACATCTTACATTTTGTCCAGAACCACGGAAAGAAAAGTTTTCTATAATGTAGAAAGAACGGAATGCAGTAATGTAAAATCTTTTAAATTAATTTAACTATAGCCATTCTGTTCAGTTACTACCTTATTTTCTTTCTAATGAAAACCAGATTTGATGCTGTTAAAATTTTTTCTTGCACCAACTGGGATACTTCTAATAAAGTCTACATCAGTTTATATTTTATGTTTGCAGATTGCACATGTGTTCTCCTGTCATTTGTAACCTCACTTCGAAAAAGCAGGTTGCTGAGTCCTTAGCCTCTCTGACAGTGTGACTATCGGTTTAGTGCAGGGATGACTAGTAAAACCCATACAACTGCAATTCAAATCTGTCATTAGTAGTTAGATGATATATTAGTATTATGATATATTAGACGTACGTACATGATGGTATTTCAGCAGTATTTATAAAATTTATCAAAAGACACAATGAAGTCATCTTCTATAAACAATTTCGTCAATATTAAGTAAATTATAAATAGTTAGTCAGCAGCAACCACTCCCATAGCAGCAACAGACTTTGAGCCTTGCAGCTTAACAAGACAAGGACACTGACGGTGCACTGTCCTTCCACCCAGTATATTCTGTTCAGAGTTGTTCGGTGCTGGATTGTCTTTGACAGCTCGGCCTTCGAGTAGGATTACAGAATTTGCTCTGTGGATCAAGGGCGTGATCTGTCCAGTTCCCTGTGTTTTGTAGGCACCAACAGTAAGGTGTTTCATGAGATACTGTAAGAATATGCAGTTGACAAATATAAAATAATCAGCTCAAGTTATAGGTCTTAGCCTAATAGACATAGGATATTATGAAGTTCAGACCTTAAATGTCAGGATGTTTTTCTGCAGCTACTTACTTTTATTAATTAAAAAAAAATAATAATCTACCAGTCCAATCCCTTTTTGAATATTACTGAAGTGTTCCTCTCAACAGCTTCTTGTTGGATTGAAGCTGATAGGCCTATAGACACACATCCTGTGAAAAGTAATCTTTTTGAATTTACAAACCTTTTCGTGACTTGTTTTTTTGTTTTGAATTAGAATAATTGATTTTTAATCCATATGTCTATATTTGTCTGCATCTTTATCTGTAACTATGGGATTTTCTCAATACAGAAGGTTTTCTTTCAACAAAGGAGTACTCAGAGAAGAGTAATGAGGCGCTTAACGCTGTTTCTGAAATGCGGCAATAGTATTGCACTTAAAATCACTATATAAAGAAACCAACGATATTTGCAGTGTGCTTCTCTATTTCTGTCTTTTTTTATCTTAAAATAATGCGCCTTTACACTTTGTGACCGTTTCTCACCATGCAGTCACACTCATGTTCTTCACTGAGAGGCCAACAGCAAAAGCAGAAAGCCTCCTTCTGGTGATTAATTCAGTTTATTCAGATGTCTGGAATGTATAAGAACAACTTAGGTTTCTTCTCTAATGTGTATTACTTTGGAATTAATGACATAAATTTAATTTCCCATCATTTAGGCTATGCACGTAGGCTTCTTAAGTTTTTCCCAGCAGCATAAATAGTTGTGTATGATGCTGAGAGCATTTCAGCTGAGCATTGCAGTTGTTGTGACAGGACAAAGAAACAGTCTCTGGAATAACTGGGTCTTTGACCTTAGATCTTTGTAAGTTCAAAGCTCATACCTTGAATTTGCATTAAAAAGTAAATTGCCAAGCAATACACAGCCAAGGATATTAGTAGATTTTGTTGTCTGTTTTAAAGTCTGTATTTAAAAGCAAATTCTTTCATAATAAAATTTAAAATCTTTGAGGAGAGCCTTTAGGGAAAGGGTCATGTCTTTCCTGTGCACTTAAACAATGTCTGATGTGGTTTCAGCCTCAAGGTATTACTGTATTTTAAAATATGTAACTGTAATACTGCATAAAATTATGCATATGTGCGTGGCAGGAGTTTCTGACCTTAAGGACTTAAAATTGTAGTCACAGGCAGATAAAGAAAGTAGGAACAAGGAGGCCAGAGGCGCCTAGAAATCAGTGACTTGCCCAGGATGACAAAGGGAATGCACTGCACAAGTGGATATTGAATCCATATTTTATCCTTCCCTGGCTAGTATCTGGTTTGCAAAGTCACTTTTCCTCACGCAAGAGATCCTACTGGCATTTTCAGACAGCTTGTCATTCCAAATAGTGGTGCAGATCAGGACTCTGCAGATGCTCTGGCAAAACAATTGTGTTCTGAAAGGGAAACTGAGGGAGTTGCCAGATGGCTTCATGAAGAATAACTTGGCAGCCCAGGATATTCACGTGTCCCTAAATTGCTTGGTGCTTCTGCATTGTATAATGTGCTGGTTTTCTGTATCTGCCTCTGTGTTTTGTTCTGTCTAAATCACAAAATAGGCAATTCAATGGGAAGGATGTGGAGGAAAACCACTTCCTTGGCATCCATGTGGGTTCAGTGTGTGCTGCTGGCTGGCTGAGACCGTCCCATGACAACCTATGAGAAACTTAAAAAAGATTTCCAAGCTATCTTTGATTTTTCTTTCTTTCTTTTCTTTTAGCATAAATATACCAAGTGTTTGGACAAAGTTTTCTAAACTTGGCTTTTGTTTGACCAACGTAACTCTCTTCTTTTCCACAGCGACACAGCTTTGTCCCCTGCCATCAGAGGAGAGCTAACAGTGTAACTCGCCTTTGGGGTTTCGACTGGGCACCAGTATGCGAAGGTGATTTCCTCTGACCAAAGTCCTTGTGTTTCTGTCCCCATCCTCTACAGCGTTGCGGAGTCGATCGGGACGGTCCATCATCAATGGCAACTGGGCAATTGATCGACCTGGGAGATACGAAGGTGGTGGGACACTGTTCACTTATAAACGCCCAAATGAAATCTCCAGCACTGCAGGGGAGTCATTTTTAGCTGATGGTCCAACAAATGAAGTCCTTGATGTCTATGTAAGTTCCTTGTATTTAGATGAATCTTCCTGACGGAAGGAAAATCTGTTCAGTTCATTGTTACCATGCAGCACTAAAATTGCATTCAGTACCAATACTTTGCTACTGATTTATTCCTTTAATTTTGAAACAGTACTTTTTATATTTTACTATTGCTTGCTGTTGCTTCCATCTCGGCCCAGATGATAGGAAATCTAGGTGATGATGGAGCCTTTTTCTCTCATCTTTAATTATCCAGCAAAACTTGTTCAGTAAAATAGAGATAAAGCATACAAATGTCCAGGGCTTTTTTTGTGAACTGGATTTTCTCCAGATACTTTCCTGCTCAAGCAAATTTGGCGTAGTTTAATTTTACAATGAACTGAAGCAAATACCTAAATCAGACAAGGCCTCTCACAGACTGATACGATCTCAGTTTTATTTAGAAGAAACCTAAGTCCAGAAAACTACAGAATAAGGGATTTGAAACAGAGCAATTTTAATACGAAGCTGCGCTAGGAGACTGTAGATAATAGCTGAGAAAGGAAGAGAGAAAACAAATTGTGGCTAAGAGGGGGAAATCATATTGAAAAAGCTGTTTACTTCATATGGGACAGGTTTTTACTGCATCATATTGAGATAAAAAACATGACTGGGGTTGATTACAACTTATTCAAAGGTAAGTGGTATGTTCTGAGGTTATACACTCTTACATGTTAAAACCCATTATTGGAATATCTGGATTAACTGGTGATATGGTTGTTTCATCCAGCTATGGCTTTTTTGTCCTTAAGTGCAATATGGAGTTGAAAAGTGAGCATGCTGGGTCATTTCATAGAAAAATGAGTAGTAACGGCCCTGACTACTCAGCTGGAAACAGATGTTGGCAAAGTTCTTCCCCATCTGCTATACAGTGTCTTAATAAAGCAATGTAATAATTATGCAAACATTACTTCTTTTTGGATAATTTCTGATTGATTGCAAAGTAAGACTGGCAAACGCCTGGAAAATTAAATGATTGGGCTCCTAGATTCTCTGCAATGCAGACTCCATGTTTTTAAAATACATGTGTCGTTGTGTAGTTACAGGATGCTCTGAGCTGAGCTTGAGTCTTAAGTTTTTATTGTCAGCTGATTGATGCCTAATACATAATGACTCAGTGAGAAAAGAATCAGGAAGTGGATTAAACAGATATTTCCAAAGTAATGCCATAAATAAACCCTTAAGCTTAAATTTATCATATTTTAGTGTTTTGGTTTAGGCTTTTGCAATGAATATAAGAAAACTGGCATGATGGACATAGCTTTATCAGTTTTGCTTTGTGGCTGATACTGTGGATTCCCACATCAAATTTGACTGGACTTTTATCTGAGATGTTTCTTGTAGATATGAGGAATATTACAGTTTATTATAAGCTGATAGTATAGTGGTTTTTTCAGTATAGTGTGGGAAGATAAAAATGGATAGTGCTAGATGAAAGAAACTCAATCATCAGTGTAACACAGCCTCTTTTTACAGGTTTGAAGTTTGTAGCTGCATGGATACAGATGTCTTTTTTCAGATTTTGTCTTGAGTTCCTTAATCATGGAATTTTCTTTTCATCCATGCTCACCATCTTTATGCTCTGTGTAGAAAAATGAAGAGATTTGCAGATGGGAACTCCAAATGGCTTTCTGTTTCTTTTTCCTGAGATCATGCTTTCTTTCTTCCACTCTAAAAATGTAGAGGAAGAAGCTCTCTAAGTTACAGTAGTTTATAATTAGCAAGATAAAGAGAGATGCAAGTTTTGTCCAAGTGTGAAGTATACATTGCTACAAAGACTTAGGGCCACTAACGCGAAGCAAAACTGTTGTATAATTCCAGGTATTTTCCTGCAGGAAAGCTGTGACAGTATATTCATAGGGACTTCATCAGTTAAGCTCTTTGTAACATGTGCCTGTCGGTTGTTTGGAGCAACGTGATGGAAAAACCATGGGAACCATTGGAAAACTGTTCCTGGAAACATCTTAAGAACAGGGTCCTGGTTCTGGAAGGTGGGGGGTACTCTTCTGCTGAAGTCAGTTTCACAGCGCTCGGTTCTCTCAGGACCAAACACAAAGAGGGTGTATTTTTTGGATAATAAAGTGACATGGGAAGGACCAACCCTTACAAAAAAGTATTACAGGCAATGCATTATTAGATGGTTCAGAAAAGTGAATGATCTCTGAGGGCCAGAGTTTAGAGGAACAGCTATTATATTTGGCAAGGAAAAAGTGATTTTGACACAAGGAAAAACAAAGGTCTGAATCCCGAGTTGGTGTTCATTGGTGTGATGAATTTAGTGAAACCTTGAAGCGTAAGTGTGCTTTGCTGGGTCATATAGCCGTGGGCATAGTACAACTTTGTTCCTTTTGGCCCATGGTTTGTCACAACCAAGGAGCTTGTACAAGGTCTGGTGTTTGGTTTGGTTTTGTTTTTTAAAAAAAGGTACTTTAAGTTAAAGTGTAATCTGAGGCTTCTAGCAGACTAGTCCCTACAAAGAGTTCAGGACTTTCAAAGCAGCAGTGTCAGTAAAAGCAGTACTGAAGTAATCAAAGCAAAACTAGTGAAATTAGCAGCTGATGGCATCCCTGCATTTCTTGTGGGAGCAAGCTCCGGCTCTCAGCAGCAGCAACGTAATACCAGCCAGTTGGGTATGGAGTGTGCTGTAACAGTTTTAAAAAGCTTTCATAGAGTCATGTCTTGCTCAGGTCTTACTATGCCTGACTGCTTAAACAAGCACTCAAGAAGTGACACTGACTTTCGGGGGTGTGCTTGTGGCAGCTTACACGGGCTTGTGCCGCAGTGTTCTGAAACCACTCGGCTTCATTTTCACATTTCAAGGAGAAAAGCTTGTGGTTCCCACCCGTGTTTCATAAAGAACACTTGGATGGAGTTGCTGTGGCTGGCTGTGAAGCAGTGGGAGTTAGTCTGCACTTGCATTACATCTTCGTTCAATTGAAAGTTAATGCAGAAGGATGCAGGAGGTTTGCACAGGCACTCTTCAGCTGCTGGGACAAGTACGTGGGCCTTTGGAATCTTTTCACTTGATCTTTGTTGAGCAATGCTTATGGTAAGAGCGACAAAATGTTAGTAATTTCAGCTAGTCGATTGTCGAGTCTCCATTGAGTGGTGTGGAGGTAGCTGCCTGGTGATGAAAGGAACGGTGTGATTGGTGGGATGGTCCTGCAGGGCAGCACGTTTGGGCTGTCTGCACGTGCTCCGTTCAGCAGCGACTGGTAACCTCACAGAGGCGGTTGGTGAGGTTCGTAGATTGGGGTCTGTGGTATTTATTTTTCTCTGCTTTGTTTCTTCCTTGCTTTTGTGTTTCCTCAGGCATCTGTCAAGCTCTTTCTATCTGGGAATGTTTTGGTGACCTTAAGACTGTCCCTTCTGCTGCTGAGGCCCAGTGTGAGCCTCTGCTGTCCACGCTGGCGAGAGGCAAGGCAGTGACTGGTGCAGCCCACAGCCGCACCTTGGCCCTGAGCATGTCAGTTTTACGTTTTTCAAAGAAGATTTAGAGAAACAATTTCTCTGCCATCACAAGCTCTCCATTTGCAAACATAGTAACCTGTATTTTCTTCTTTTTCCAGAAACGTCTTTTTTTTTTTTTTGCATTTTTTGCAGTCATTGACCACTGTTTCTATCCTGACCAATGATAAGTAAGGTTATGTAGTTGATCAGTTACATATTTAAGTGTTAGTAATGGAACAAGTAGAAGAAGTGAACATATGGCCGTTTTTCTTTTTAGATGATACACCAGCAGCCTAACCCAGGTATACACTACGAGTATATCATTCCAGGAGACAATGTCATTAGTCCTCAGTTGCTTGCTCACAGGAGGCCAGGTAAAATGCCACTGTTTCTTATTATTAAACCCATTTTGTTACCCAATAAGCTAATGGAGAAATTCATGCCATTAAATTCAGTGTTGATGCTGCCATGGATGTGGGAGAGGCCCAGAATTTCACCCTACATGTTAAAGGAGAAGTATACATAGATTTGGTAACTTCAGTGAATTAATACTGGCAGGGATTATTTATACTCTAGCAGGGAATCTGATCACATATTTCTAATTTCAGTAACAATTTTGTTGTTAAGATGTTAACCATGGCTTTGCATGAGCTGGAGAGTTGTAACCACCTCAGAAATGAAATGGAACATGATTTTTCTCTTCAGAGTTTGAGATAGTTTTAAACAACCCTTTGCAGTTTCTCTTTCCTCTCCCAGCTGGAGAGGATCAAACACAAAACTGTTGCCTTCCCAAGCTAGAGCCTGGACAGCTTGTGCTCCTGACCGAGCTGTGGATATGTGCTATGTGTACTGGTATGAAGTTCTGAAGGACAGTAGAAAATTTGCAAGCAAGTCTGGGCCGACTTTTAATGTTCGTGACTTGCCTTGACAACTTTCTAAGCGAGTTTGCAGTCAGTTCATGACGAGGAGCAGCTGTGCTGCGACATGAGGAGGCACAGAATACAGAGGATGGTACAAAAAAAAAAGCTTTGGGAAATTTTGACACTGGATGCATTAACTGTCCAGTGTGTTTAGAGATTCTTCAGTTTTTAATGTATTTGCTGGCTGAGACTTGCTTATCTTAATTTAAAACAACATAATCTTTGCAGGACATTATTAGGAGGTCTCTGCATAGCAGATTAAAGCTGCTTTCAAGTTTAATGATACTCCAGTTGTCATTATTAGTGGATGAAAACATAGGCTTATATTTGTAAGTGGGGCTCATTATTTTACGTTTTTGTTATTGTCCATCATCAGGGGAGCCCTTGAACGGTCAGTTAGGAATGCCAGAAAGTACAAATCAAGAGGATAAGGATTTGCATAGGGAGACAGATGCTCTCACTGGACAGTCAGCTGGAACTTTTCCAGTTATTCAGCCAGGAAGATTTCCTTCTCATCAGCCAGAGAACCAGGTGCCTGCTGTGCAACCACCAAGACAAAGCCGAGAACACAACTGGAAACAGATTGGAAAAACTGAGTGCACTGCTACATGTGGGAAAGGTGAGTGCTTCATACATACTCCATGCACAGAAAACAGGTGACACACAGGAGGGTTCCAGCATGGGAGAGGAGAAGCATGGAAGGAGGAAGCAGTGTGACTGTTCGGCAGCTCTTGTACGCACAAAGCATTGCTGGACCTGGTGTTTTCTGTTCTCTTACAAGCAAAAGACACGTTAGTACTATTATGAGTGCTTATATTTAAATCAGTAGAAACAACAAAATTAAAAATATTAAATACAAACTGTGTGAATTAAAAGGGAATATATTGGCATTTGCCTCTGAAAGTATTGCAGGATTTTATGGCAAGTTGCTCTTTCACATCATTGATACACAGATGCTTTTCTCAGAATTCTTTGGCATGCTTTATCCTTCCATTTGGCACCTCCAGCTTTGTCAGATACACTCCCAGTGCTTTTTGTGTCTTTGTCAACAGTTTTCTGATCTTTATGGAAAGGTTTCACAGGGATTCCATCAGCCATATCTTTGCCTCATTGGATGTTGCTGGAACAGTAATAATGTGACTTCAGAAAACTGAGGTTTTCGTAGGGGGGAAATGGGAAGGAAGAGGGATGGAAAAGGACTGGTAATGAGTGAGCTTTTGGGATGTGATGGATACACTACTTTGAGCTTGCCAGGTTAATGTTTGCTGTAAGACATTCACAATGACCGCAGATTCAATAATGCATAGCACAAATAAATATTTGGAATAAGGTTTTTTTTATAGTAAAAATGAAATATTTTGTACTATATGTAGCCATCACCATACCTAAACAACAGTAGAGCTTTGAAATAAAGATGTACCAGTGAGGGAACTCAGCTGACTGCCACCAGTTCATATCCACTAAGAACATTTACTTTGTCATTAGTCTGAGAGGACACTTGGCGAATTTGGCTCAAGGCCAGATGAGTGTCCATGTTATAGCTACAGATAGCACTTCGAAAGTACGGCAATGTTGATACCAGTCAAAATTGCTTCCCAGTATAGTGAGAAAACTTTTTTGATTGGAGAAATTACTGCTTAAGTGTTAGAGCTAAAATACAGCCTATAAAAGACAGAAGACTTTGAAGTCAGCCTTTTTGTGGAGAAAAGGAAGGAATGTAAACCAGAATTATTTTGGTTGGCATTTAAATACACTATGTGTCTTTAGTACAAGTCATAAGGGCAGAATCCATAATTGCACCTGATTATTGTTTAGCAGCAATCAGTGTGTATCACCTGCTGAGTGTCTGGATTATCATATATGTGGTGAATTTTAGTTTCCAAATGAGGTAATTTATAATGCAGTTGCAGGAGCACATCAGGGTTCCTTTACATCATAGAAATCTTGGTTGCATTTCCTGTGGACCTTATGGACACTTGAACATAGTTCTTGCCATTTCTTCAGCGATTTAGTAGCTATTGGCAGTGGTATTAATGAAATCTGAGTCAAAATGATAGCAAAATTGTAGGAAAAGAAAATCCAAAGGATATCTTTCAGTGTCCTATACAGCTTAAATTTACTTCGTGAAATTTAATAAGAGAACTGTCAAAAATTAGCATCTCTTTTCCCATTATTTGGAGAATGTGTGTGTTCTTATCAAGTTAAATTCAAAAGAAAAGCATCTCTGTACTCCTTTGGGATCACCTGCCCTTTCTTACACCTCTTGTACTTGTATGTCTTGTATGTCTTAGTTTGGTTAGGAGCTCCTTGCTTATCCATGCAGGCCTCCTGCCACTTTTGCTTGATTTCCTACTTGTTGAGGCAGGCCTTTCTTGAGCTTGGAGGAGGTGATCTCTGAGTATCAACCAACTCTCCTCGACCCCTTTTCTCTCTAGGTCTTTATCCCATGGGATTCTTCCAAACAGATCTCTGAAGAGGTCTGGGTCTGCTCTTCTGAATTTCAGGGTTGTGGTCCTGCTTTTTGCCCTGCTCACTCCTCTTAGAATCCTGAACTCCACCATTTCATAGTCAGTGCAGCCAAAGCTGTCCCTGATTTTCACATCCCTGACTTGTTCTTCCTCGTTTTTATGTATCAGGTCTAGCAGAGCACCTTTCCTGGTTGGCTCCTTGATCACCTGTGTCAGGCAACTTGTTAACGTACTCCCAACTTTTTACTTACGGAATACAAGTAGGCACATTAGCACCTTGCTTTTTGGCATCATTTTGGTAGTCAATTTGCAATAGTAATAGAAGTGGAGTTCTGTCTTTCTGCTCTAGCATGAAAATTTAAAGACTGAGCATTGAATCTGGAGAATTTTTAGTGAGTCTGTAGTCTACAGTAATGTTTAAGCTGTAAGCTTTATCTTAGGAATCTTTTCAAAACCAGCTAAAGTGGATAATACTCTCCTGTTTACTCACCATGTAACTCTAAAGTAAGAAGGCTAGATTTTTCCTCCTCTCACGCCTGTGTTCTGGCAGCTTGGCTGTATTTTTTTTAATTGCCTGAATACTTAATGTTTGTACTCTCTGCACTATGAAGATCTCATGAAGACCAAGAAGCATGTTTTCTCAGCCTTTCCTACAATGCCATGCTATACTTTCTATATACTGAGGACTTCCCTTAATACTCCAGTGTAAAACAGTATAGCATTCAGCTCTCGCTTACATTTGGAAATTTTGGATAAAATCTTAGTCTGTATTTCTTGTTGTTAAGTTAAGCTTTTCCTTTCTGCATCTGTGTTGGATGCTACTGTTATGATTGCGGAGTCTTTTGCAATGCATCACGTAATTTTCTTCTTCATTTCAGGGTCACAGTACCCAGTTTTCCACTGTGTCAACAGAATCACTCACGAGGAGGTATCTGAGAGTTACTGTGACAGCAGCACCAAACCCATTCCAGAAGAGGAGGCCTGCAACCTCTTCCCGTGTCCAGCTTTGTAAGATACTACAATTTAAGTCAAGTGAAATAAGCCAATGTCACTGAGGTTTTGCATGTGAAAGAGGCTATTCTAACTAGGAAACCAGTTTGAACTTCTAAGTACTACGCACTTGTGTCGTGAAGTGTAGTGGATATTTTTTCCTTAGCTGTTGGTGGCCTTCTTCCCCTTCACAGGGAGCAGGAGCATTCAGAGAAGACAAAAGGGAAGTTGGCAACAAGTGAGTGTAGTAATTTCTCAAAATTTGTGTGGTTGTTCAGGCATGCACACTCTACGTGGTCTCTCTATGGGTACATTTTTTTCCAGTGACAGGCTTCTGCATATACCTGTCTAAGGAAGAGCCTCTGCAGGTTGGATCACTCCACATTGGACCAGTGTGCTGAAGTACCCCCCTGTTTCTTCTGTGGTGTCATATTTAACGATGAGGCCGATAGTGCTCACTACAGCCCCCTCACAAACATCACCTCTCTTTCCTGGAATTCATAATCATAGAATGCATTGGGCTGGAAGGGACCCCCACAGGTCATCTAGTCCTCTTCAGCTCAAAGACTGGCTTCTGACGTGGCAGTCATTGTTCCCAGCGCACTACACAACAAGCTCAGGTGCGATTTCCTTCTGAAAAGACACTTGCCGTCAGGAGACTGTGACTCACAATTGGCTAAGCAACCTCTTTCAAATAGTAAATTAAAAAAAAAAAAACAGTGAATACACCCAGGGTGTACACCAAGCAGAGAAAGGGTTAAACCCAGTTGCCGTTATAGCAATTTTATTTCACGTCAACAGCTGTTTTTTCCATCTTTCTGGTGGTTACATTCTTCAGGTCTCTTCTGAGCAACAAGTGGCCACTCCTTCTCTCACAAAGTTTCTAATGGTGAAAGTGCTGTCACAGTGTTAGAGATGCCTTACGAGCAATTTCCTAGTGCATATTTAGATACTCACAAACTTCTGAAGCCATTTACTTGGAGATGTCTTCTCTCACCAAGCATTTTTCCCACCTTTTTCTTTCTAACAACTCATATTAATTCAGCTTTATTTGTTTACACAGGATAATATCAAGAATATAAACAAAGACGTGCAAATAGTTATTAAAAAGAATAGAGATTTTGCTTACTTTCCACAAGAGTTCCAAAATAAAATGTGTGAACAGTTCAAATGCTTTCCTTATTTGTGCATGTCTTCATGCTTGAAATGAAAACTGAAAGGCAAAAAATTACATGTTTATACAAAAGTGATTAAATAAATACAGTGAAATCTTGGAATGAGAAGAATATATCTAGGGATATTTTCCATCTCTAAAATTAAATGTATTTATTCATTGCTTATTCAGTTTTACTGGTGAATGAATGTCTGGATGCGTTACATGATTTTTGTGGCACTGTCCTTTCTTAGAGCCTTTGCTTCAGAAAAATACAACACATCTTAAACTTTTGGGAAGTGTCATTAGAGCAGTGATAGATATTATAGATAGATTCTTTAAAAAAGCTAACAGCTTTTGGTGGTTTAATTAATGTTTGTGATATGTCTTGTAACCACGAGTAGTGCAATCTGTATGCATTATCAACCACTACGGGTAGGTTGGTAACGAGTTTATAAGACTGTCTTCACAAAGGATTACGTTACACAGGCAGAGGCTTCAGTGTTATTTTGTAAGATTCCGTACCAGCATCAGAATCATATCATTTGAGCTCTGTTAAGAATAGTATCAGAGAAACCTTCACTGAGAGAACACGTCCTCTTTTTTTTTTCCTTCAGCTGGGATATAGGGGAGTGGTCTGAGTGCAGTAAAACATGCGGCCTTGGTATGCAGCATCGGCAGATCTTATGCCGGCAGATGTATGCCAATCGTACCTTGACAGTTCAGCAGTACCGCTGCCATCACCTGGAGAAGCCAGAGACGACCAGCACTTGCCAGCTGAAGATCTGCAGTGAATGGCAGATTAGGACAGAGTGGACTTCAGTAAGTGCAATTGATTCGTGTGGGGCATAAAACCTCAGAAAAGAATAAAGTTTCTTCCAGGTATCACTAATCAAACATGCAGACTTTTTTTTGTTTAAAACAGGGAAATGGAATGTGAAAAGCCTTGGACATTTGTGAATCTTAGTTCAAGAAACCCCTGCTTGATTATGACCATTAAAGTTTACTGTTCGTAACCAGAAAGGAGCTGAAAACGAGTGATTGAATAGTACAAAACACGCAGATGTGTGGGTACAGAGGATTTCTGAGCAGTGCTCTTTTTTAAATACTATGTGAAGTATTTAAAACTGGGAGAGTCCTGACAGGTTTGCCTGTGGCGGCAAACTTACTGCTTTTTCTCACAGCATGTCGAGTTTAGTTCCAGGAGTTATTTAAACTTAGGTATGTATCAAGGATAGAGTCAGTAGTTGCTGTTACTGCAGTTGGTTTGAGGCTATGCCAAGCCTTTCAGATAAACGTGCACAGTACAGTTTGGAGCTTTAATTTCTGTGTTGCTTACAAAAGGTTCAGCCAACCTTACAACCACCCTAGATACTTTCATGGCCATCGTGTGAAAGACAAAAATAACCCGATCTACATATTAGGTGTAGTGATAAACAAATCTCTTTCAGTTACCCATGAAACAAAGCAGAAAAAATTCAGAGTTGCTGAATTATGTGGGTTTTCCTTTCTACAGAGGTGCTTCCTTGCTCCTAATCCCCCCAGCAGCACACCGTGTGCGTGGGCTAGCTGCACAGGCAGTAGCAGCACGGCTTCCCACCCACTCAGTCACAGCAGGCTAAGGAGTCACACGTCAGACTTCGTGTGCCTTTATTGGGGGTCTTCCCCCCCCGGTAAAGCCTATGTGACTTAACTCCCTCAGTCGCTCTGTTTCTAAGGCTGAGGGTGGCACTGTTAACTTCCTAGTCATGAAGTAGTTCTGATAGGATATATTCCTGATAAAAAAATTAGAAATACCTAGACAGACAAATGTAAAGATATGTTGGTTTTAATTCATTACTCATGATGAATTAAAATCCATCTAGAGTTAAAGGACAGTAAAATTTCTATTACAGGTAAAGGTTTTAGTATCTTGTTGTGTTGATGATGAGAAAGGGGAGCTGGTTTTGTGTGGTGTTGCATTTTGAGAAGTATTTTAGTGACAGAGTCTTTAGAGGTTTACTGCATATGGTGAATCAAGCAAAACAAATGCTTTAGAAAATGTGGCTCGTTGAATATAAGTGTGATTCTAATAAAATTCTGTGATTAATTTCTTCTTGGAAGTAAAATTAAAATTCTTGTCGTGAGCAAGGTTCATCATAAAGAAAGAAGCAATTGAGTTTGCAAACTGGTTTCAGTAGAAGTTTGTGTTTGTGCTTACTGAAGTACAGTTAGGTTTTCACTTTGGAGACAGGTCTGTGATCTTAACAGTAAGCCCATCTTAAGATTTTAATGTGCTTACCGTTTTTTCTCACAAACAAATGTCAAAAACTTTGTTCTAAATCTGATTAGAAAAAATGGCATTGTGGTAATTTTAAGTTTGGAGTGAGCAGACTTGACTTCGAGAGTAACCCCCTTTATGACATAAGGAACGGGGTATTTGGTTTTGTTAGTGTTTTGCTGTCTGATTTCACACATCTAGTTTGGGTTTTGGCAGTGTTCTAAAGTGAACAGTTGAAGAGATAGCTGCAGTCTGAAGATGGAGCCTGTGAGGTGTCTTGCTGTAGGGTGTATATTTTACGGGATAAATGACTTGGACATCTAAATATAGTAGATATGATTAAGCATTCAAAAGCAAGGAAAAACCATGAGGCTGCCTTTGGAAGCTCTGCTAGGTACCCTTGTGTGCAGGTGCTGCAGTCTAATCTTCAGATGCCCAGAGATTTTCCCCTTAATTCTAGGGTGTTTACAGGACCCATCAAAACATTTCATGTGTACACAGCAGAACATTATGTTCCCAACTTGCTTCATGATCTGGACGCTTCGCATCGTCAGGCAGAGATATCAAAAGCTGCCAAGTGTTCTCTGAGGTTGAAGAAGGTGGCCTTTACTTGTAAGAGGGATTCAGAAGTTGTGTTTCTTTGCATTTCTCTTGCTTCATATCTGCTTATAGGTCAAGATCAAAATGATGCAGGAAATGCCAGCCTGCTATTCAAATACCAGCTGTTGATTTTGATAAGGTGCAGCATGGCCTGGTGAAGATAGGGTTTAATTTTATGTTTTCCGAAGATACCTGCATAGTGTGCTGTAGAATACCAGAGACGGAGAATATGATTTAAAACTACTAATGCGTTTTTATTCCCTATTCCTAGCAATCTAGATTAGTCCTGTATTTCTTGGCAGAAATGAATGAGCTGTACGTTCCCAGCTCCCTGATAAACCACTGCAGTTCTTGCATAGAGTCCTGATGCAGCGTCCCTTTTGTTACAGTGTTCAGTGCCTTGTGGAGTGGGGCAGAGGACCCGAGACGTGAAATGTGTCAGCAACCTTGGAGACGTTGTTGACGATGAGGAGTGTAACATGAAGCTGCGGCCAAATGATATTGAGAACTGCGACATGGGTCCCTGTGCTAAGAGCTGGTTCCTTTCAGAGTGGAGTGACAGGGTAAGGCTTCTCATTGTCTTTGCGCTGCCAAATCTTCTAAAACAACTTCGCTGCACCAGAATTAAAAAAATACGCACCTGTGCAGACATAGAAGGAGCGATCTTATTTTCCATGTTTATCCTTGATCTGTCAAACAGGCAAGACCAAACAAAATAATAATGATCCCAAGGGCATCTTGAGTTTGTGTTAGATACAAGAAAGCATGGAAAGGGCACGCGTGTGGGTACATGGCCAAACATCTGGATTTAGAATTGGCTGTGTTGGACTTCCCAAAATATTGAGTGTGCTGAGATTTATTATTCGGCTTGCTTAGCCCCGAGTCTCAAGATTCACTCGAAAAGTTTCCCTCCTGTTTTTTAAGGGATGGAGGTTTGAGGCCTGATGTGTGGGCCATAAAACAATTGTCCTATAGCTGTGAAAAGAGGGGAACAACTTCATAAACTCATAAAAAAGGCAAGGCTGATCCAGTCAGGCGTTTGTACTTTGTGAACATGGATGTGTTTTTTAATTCCAGTGGGTTAGATTCTCTGCAGGAAAGCAATAAAAACAGTGGTGATTGGGCTCAGAGTTGTTGTTCAGTTGTTTTTATTAAAAGGCTTACAAATGTGGGCTAAGAAAAGCCTGGTATTTTGGTCCCTCTTGTGAACGCTTGCCTATCAATTTCCTCTGAAGACAAATGGACCCTTCCGTCTGTAGAGTCCTGATTGCATCTCGCTTTTCTTTGACTGGTTGTTTTGGCAGGCAAATAATACAATTTTCCATTGGAGCTGTAAGATTACATTCATAACTTCATTTTGTGGTAGTATCTCTGAAAGCTAGGAATGTTTTAGATGCAGAGAAGGAGGACAGGTACCTGGATGTCACATCATTTTAAAAAGGCTGATCAGACTCTTGCTGCAATTAAAGGCCTGCAAAATTTTCAGCTTCCAGACAACTCAGATTTTATAAAGAAAAAATAAATGATACACTAATAAATCTTTGCTGTTGTCATTCATACTTTTTTTTCAGTTGTTACCCACTCAGTGTTCACTTTTGCATAGCATGGTCAGGAAGTTACCACGTAAAGTATAGTTATTGGTGTAAATGGCAAAGTTTTTGCTGAAGGGGAAATGGCAGTGCCTTTTATTTTATTTTTCTAGCTTGTAGAGCTGTTCTTTGTACAGTGCTATTACAGTGATGTTTTTCAAGTAAGAGACCCTCAAAGATGTCTTTCTAGAAAAAGCTGGCCCAGCTGCTATCAGCTCGTGCAGTTCCACTGCATAAAGCACATACCTTCCAGTGGAGACTTAGCTTCAATGCTTCCTTCATTATTCTATACTGATATTTTGTCCTCTGCAGAGTTAAAAGTAGGTTTTGTAGCTGAAGGTTATGACTGTAGAATGTTATTATGCTTATTTATACGTATTAAATGAGACATAACAGTAAAGCAGGTAATGTGGAAAATGTTGGAGTTTTTTCTTACCACAAACATTTTAGGATCAGAGAGTAAAGAATGGATTTTGTTACCTTCTCTGCTTACATAAGTGTACAAATTAATTTCTTCCAAATGCTTGCTACTGTAGTTGGCATTATTCACCACCACTTCTGCCAGCAGTGGGTTTGGAGTTTGATTCACAGAGAATGGAAGGAACAGCTTATTTCAGGAGAAAAGCGGATTTGAGCTAGAATGTGTAGAATCTTCTAATGTGACCTTGCGACATGGATGTTCAGAGATGCCTAGTGACAGTGGTTCCAGTGGCAGTCAGTGGAATGTAGGAGTAGTCAGTAGCTTTGCAAAGTCAGGCCTTTGGCCATTAGCTTTCCGATTGTGCCTTTCAAGGGTTGCTTTTTAGGATCAGAAGTCTCTTTCTTCATAGAGGAGTGTGTTTCTGTTGAAAGACAAGAGGAGAATTCTGTCCTGGAATGGAAATGGGCATTCCCAGGCCTATGGACTTTGCGTGTGTTGTTTCCCCAGTTCTTTAAAAAACACTTTAAGCCAAGCCACACCTCAGCAATAAGCGTAGCTCAGCGATGGGCAGCCACTAATGGTTCAGATAAGCAGCCAAAAGTTCAAATGCTTAAAGAAAGCTTGTTCAAACCCCTTGAGTCCACAAAACTGTGGTGGAAATCTCACCAGAACAGACCTTCTTTGTGAGATTTATTACATGCCTGCTTCAAGTCCCGGCTGGAAATACCACAGAACAGTCTTTCCCATTGTATTTTGACATTTCAGCTGTGTCTAGAAATAAGAGGTAAAAGAACCTATCATAACTTTTGAGACCGTTGGAACTTTGAAATGGTTGAGTTCAGACTTGGTTACAGCCATAGTAGAAGGCCTGGCCTGTACTGTTCTGAACCCATTTTGCAAATGTTTAACGTGTGCTGTTGCACACGCAGCAAGTGGACATTTCCAGAGGCCTGTCAGAGATCAGTTAGGCACTTACTTTCTCTTTCAGCAAGGAATATATCAAACGTCCATGTCCGGATTTATGCGATGCACGGGGCATTACAGTATAGGCTTGGCTAATTAGCAAAATGTCAAGAAAAGGCACACTAACATAAAAATTACAATTGTCTTTGCTGGACAACAGGATTTGATAACTGTGATAGATATTTGTGCAGAATTTCACAAGGGTATTCTTTAACACAGGGAGAGAAAGAGATGAATAGTCACATCTGAGTTTTAAGAAAAGGATAGGATCTAATTTAGGATTGGTGCAAAGATTTTGAGTTTTCTTATTTTACTGAAACCTTGCAAAGTTTTAATTGATGCAAAATCATGCTAGCTACCTTCAGCTTCATTAATAGTTTCTGTGGTTCTGAATTGGAAGACTTTATCATTAGATTTTCCTAAATGTAACTTCTGCAATACAACATATGTGCCCTTAAAAACCTGCAGAGTACATCCAGAGTTGTGTGTAGGAGCCACGGTCTCCTTCCCAGGGTGAGCTGGATGTAGCTTTACTCTGTAAATAACACTTGGCTGACTTCTCGCCATGTTCTCCCCTCTTGTTTTCCCACAACATACATTTATGTATTTTATGGCCCACCTGTTTCCCCACATGGCATTGACCTTCTTGGATTCAGTTTCCACACAGACTGATTCTTTATACATATAATTAATCTTAAATAATTAGAAAACCCTCTCTGTTCCTAAAACAATACAGTTTTTGCTTTGAGTTATTTTGATAAACAGGCATCAGCGTCCACTGTACGTACGTTACACACACACACTTTTACCTGCAAAGCTTATGAGTCTCGTGGCTACCATGTGCACACTGGTGGAACACGTAAAGGAAGGAAGGAAGGAAGGAAAGCAATTCATCCTTAAGAAACAAACCCTCATTTTCTGAGAAGTATGTGCTCTGTTATTTGTCTTTGAAGTGGACTGAAACACCATATTCTGAAATCCCCCAGGCTCAATCTTGAGAGAAATTTTTACCCATTTCAATGGAAAAGATTACAGGCTAAAAGTCTTCAGCAACAAAGTGAGACTCATCTTACTTTGTATGTGCCTGTCTACATTTATTGCTCTATCTTGTGTAAAAATAAGAGAATTAGCTTAAATTTCATGGCTTTGTCTTCTACATGATCTTTAAACCCTTTTGATTATAGTGAATCTGGATAAACTTTTGTGTTATTTTCACTCACATTTGTAGAAGGATGGCTTCCTGTCTCAATTCTCTTAGGATGTTACAGTGTGTTAAAACGGCAGAGTTCCACCAATCTGCATCCATTAATCAGCAGGGTAAAGCTAGTGAACCCTACTGAACTTAGCAACAGAATTGGATTGACAGGAGCAGATGAGTTTCTTGCAAACATTTCACATGACTGATTCTTTGACAGCTCTAATTGCTGGAAAGTTTACTTCTGCTATGGGTCAGAAGCAGGAAACTGCATTCTCCTGATTTACAGCAATGGGAGACTCACCAGTGCTTCCTTCCAGGCTAACTGGAGCATTCCCCTCTCGCATTTTTGTTTATTCCTCATTGCCATCTCCTCTGTTCGTTTGTTTCCCATTTTGTGTTTTGAGCATACTTAGAAAAGAAGCCAAAATACAAACAACTGTGAGATGTTAATGAGATTCTGAGGCCAAAATAAAATCTTGGGAAGAAAGAAAAAATGCTGCACATCAGAGAACAAAATCAAAACAGATCAAACACATGGCTCTGGATTCACTCTTCATTAAAAGAAGTAAGAGCAATGCTTCTGTAGTATCTTCCATTAGAGACCTGCAGTATGCTTCGTAAAAGTCAGCGCTTGATTCCTTACGATCCTAAAGCATTACCTAACAGGAACACGTGGGTTTGTTGACCAGTCAAATCTAGAACCACCAATCAATATTGTAGCTCACACTCTTCTTTCACTGTTTTTTATTTAAATCTGGACAGCTCACATAAAATCTCCTGGATCCTGGAAAAAAAAAAAAAAAAAAAAAAAAAAAAAAAGAGAAAGGAAAAGAGAGCACCATGGAGCTTGTGCAGGCGTTTTGTTATTTTTGATGATCACTGTTTATTTGTTTTCAGTATAAAATGCAAAATAAAATACCCCTTTCTATTGATTTCATATGGAAATAGAAGCTTTGCATTGTATAAATACGTCAGTCACTTCATTATTTGGAATGAAACATATAACCAGGAGAGTTTCGAGGGAGACATTGATAGAAGGGTGGCCAAGACCTACAGACATTTCTGTTTTTCTTTCTAGAACTGATCTCTCTTTGCCACAGTTCAGCTGCTTTAGATGAAAAGCAGCATATGGAAGTCTGCACGGCAGGGAGAAACCTTGCCAGCTAAGCATCCCTGTTAGGTCAGCAGGGCAGGCTCAGCGGTGGCAGAGGGGGGCAAAAGAGAGTCCGGATCATCAGGCAGGATCATGGTGATGAGGCAGATCCAAGGTCAAGCTGGGGAATCAGTGCACAGCTCAGGTGGCAGTACCCAGGGCTGGACACAGCCCAGCGATGCTGGGGCAGGGCCGTGGTAACAAGGCAGGGGCAGGGGCAGGCTGGGAAGGGAGCCCAAGGGCGAGGGATCGGTGAGGCCCGTGCCCAGGCTGTGGCTGGGGACAGGCATGTCGCTGGTGGAGCTCAGGCAGGGACTGAGGGATCAGGGCTGAGGATAAATGGAGACCCCGGGCCATGGGCAGGGGTGTGGGGGGATGCCCCCAGTGAGGCAGGTCAGAGCCAGGTCTGCATGTGGGCGCACTCAGGCCCTGAGAAGTCCTTACAGCTCTCAAGGCAAGTGATAGTTATTGTATGAGACAGAGTAGTGAAGAAGTCTGGTCCCTGATGTTACTTCAGAGAGCGTTAGTAAGTAATAGGTAAGTACCAACAGTGTTACCACCTGCATACAAGGAAACAGTGCGTATGTAAAAGCAATCATGATCCAGCTGAAATGCCCAAAAATTCTAAGACCATATTTCAAAACTTTTGTTACCTCGGAAGAACACCATGGACTAAATACAGAGACAGTTTGACTTCTGCTCCAGCATCTGCTGCATGCATAAATGCACTCTAAAGGGCAATTATTTAAATCCAGATATCAGACAGTGTGTTGGCAATATGTAAGGATATTTCTGACTACAGCCCTCCTTTTACCTCCCCCCTCTTTTTTCTTTTTTTTTTTTTTTTTTTTTTTTTTTTGAGAAATCAAGGCTGCTCTCAACTCTTTCTGTCCTTTGAAAATCTGTCCCTGCTCTTGGAACTGCGGCAGAAGTGAGCTTCTGAAATACAATTCTTAGTTTATTATTGGAAAAACAAAGGTTACATAATCCTTCCAAAATCCCTTCTGAAAGGGTTTTTCTCAGAGTAGGTCAAATAAGGCTAAGGAGTTTCATAAATGCATTTCGAACGCAGATCTTTATTTTTTGCAGTAGTGTAACATCAGGAGGATGATTCATAACAAGAATTTACTGTCTTGCAGGGAATAATTAAGATGCTGAAGGTTAAAGTGTGGTAGACAGAAATCCTGCACAAATGGGGTTTTACTGGAACTCAATCGGTTGTTATTTAAAAATCTAATTAAGGCTAGCAATGATGCTGAGACCTGGGTGAAAGGACTCTCGAGTTCTGGGAGATTTCCTGCTGCCTCTTTCTTGTGGTCTGTTGCCCCATTTGAGGGTAATGAGTAGGGCTGGCACATTAGGGAAAGGGAACTGGCACTGGTCTGGTAGAGGGCTTTTTTGCTTTACCATGCCCTGTGGCTGTGACAAAAATTCAGGCTTCTGCTTGCAGTTTTCCAAGTTTGCAGGAACTAGCCTTATTTTCCGGGACTGCTGTTACAGCTGTTTTCTGAGAGCTATCAGAGCACTAGATTAGGGATGGGTTTTTATTTTTAGTTTTTAAGGGGATTGGAAAGCTTCTGAAACTGAACTCACGAGGGAAGGACCTTAGGAAGAGAAGGCAGACTCCTTAAAACTAGGGAGGGTGTTCCACAGACTAAGGTTTCTGAGGAATTTCTGCCAATGGAAACAAGACAGTGAAACGAAATACCTTTTAAGAATAGGATCAGCATATAGAAGGTGCAGCTTGTGAAAGGCCCTCATGTCATACAGTGCTAGGTTATGGCCGTTACTGTGTATTAACGCAACAAAGCAATGGCACAAAATTCAAAATAGTGGGTGTGTCAGTTGTGAAAACCAAAGGGAGAGGATTCATTATCCAAACACTCCATCCTCCCTGCCTTGGGCTTTGGAAAGCACGGCTTTCACATGGAATATTTTTACCGAAAGGAAGAAAAAAACATGAAAAACCAAATACTTAACACAGAAACATTCAGGTGTAAGTTTGCTTTGTAAATCCTTTGAGGGTTGTTAATCTATAGTAAAATGTTGCAGGAGAGGGTGGGACAACCTTATACCTCCCCATTTGGTATTTCCTTTGTTATTTGATATATAAGCCTAGTTCATGCATAATCATTTAAAACTGTAAGACTATGGAGGTTTGCTGGATGACTTTATAGAGGAAACTTGTTCCCAGCTCTGGTTTGCGAAGCAGAAAAGCAAATTAGATTGTCCAATGAAAATTACTCAGAAAAGTAGTTCCAGAGTATATGCGTAGTCCTCTGTGCATAATGTAATTGAACATACTGGCCGAGGAGAAAATATGAACATCCAAACCATTTATTTCTGTACAGCGGGTCTGAAAGGTGGCCATTCTGGGAGGCTCAGCTGAACAGTTAGTTTACCTAGGAGTGGACTGTTTGAAATGGTTTCGTTTAGTTTTAGTTTACATAAACGGGAAAATGTTCACTACTAGCACAATTTACATCACGCTTGTGTTTTCAAGATTTTGCCAATTTACTCTGAAAAGACCTCCTTAGCCATCAGCTCTGGTTTGCTGAGGAGGTAAGTGTATCTGTGTGAAAGTGGAAAATTTTGTTGTGCACCACCAACAAAAAAGGTTTGTTATGTGACTTATGGCATCATTTAAGAGAAGCTTAATTATTCCATCTTGCAGATGGAGGAAGAAAGCATTCCGAATTTTTTCCTATTTCTGTGGAGTATATAAGCATCTCTTTAAATTATGAATTTCTATTTATTACAAAATTATATTTTGTTTGTTAAAAAAATGATTGAAGCACTTTTTTAGGGATTGCATTTCAGTACAGCTTTGCCCTTCTAGTTGAACACTTGTGAAAGAAACCACCTTGCTGATAGGAAAAATGTTTTTCTGTACTATATCTGCGCCAAAAATGTAACACGAGTGCCTGTTTCACAGCAATAACCAGTATTGTTGGGTGCAAGTGAGTGAAGAGTCGTTTGCAACCAATTGTACATTCAGTCACTGGTCTCTCTCCTGAGAAAATGAATGACTGTATTGGTTAATCCCATTATTAACAGTGGTGCTATCATGGCATCTGCTGTTCTGTGGCTGAACTCCGGGATGTGAACCCTTACATTATTGTCAATGGGAGCCAAATCAAGCTATTGGTCAACTCTGTCTCTCATTACCAGTTCTCTGAATCATTCTTACTTTTATTCAATAAAATTCGAAAAAATGTTCCAGTACAGAGTTACATTCGTTCACAAGGAATGCAGTGTTCAGTGTGGAAGTAATACACAGTTTCTCTTAACTAATTTTATTGTATGGTAAAAATAAAATCTGAAATGTCAATCAAAGGTATCTTTTTCTCCCATATACTCCATACTTATTTGTGGTTTTCTTTGCATGTGTAATATAATTGTTTGTAATTGTTTAAATTCAGTGTATACATACCTTTCAGTGAGCTGCACATGGTTTTTTCTTTATTTTAATGGTCTAGACATGAAATGCCAAATGCATTTTAAAAGAAGAAGAAAGGAAGGAAAGATTAAGAAAGAATTATGCAATAAAAACACAGTCTAACACAAGAATTTATTATTTCCTTGGCACGTTTCTGGTTTTTAAATGTCAATAGTTTGATGCTTCCCACCACTGTGGAACATTGGAGACTTTCCCGCTGAAGTAAATGAATCGCCAAACTGTAAGGGCATAAATGGAATTTGTCCCACGTGATTTATGGATGACATGCATACTATCTCCAAATATATGACATAGGAATCTGCATATCACTCCTTACTAAGAGCTTTCAGAATTTAGCAGTGCAAAGTTGAGAATGGTGAATGTTAGTTACTGGGAAGTCATATCATTAGGAAGCAACATCGAATTTACGTGAACTTCTACAGCCACCTCTTCTGCTAAAACTAATTAGCAACTTACAATTGAAACAGCTTGGGCAATAATTAGCGGTAGTTACAGTTATTTGCTGAGGATTTACCTGAATCTTTTGAAACCACCTGTCAAAAAATGTTATATTTGTCTATTTTATTGTGCTCTCATACTCTGTCAACTTGTTCTACGGAGAAGTTGCAGGTTGCGCTCTGCAGCCATTTTACTGCCAGTGCCACAGCCCTCAGCATCGTCCTAGCTTCGTCCTTTTAACCACTCTAAGAGTCCACCTGGCTGAGAGCTTGAATGGTCAGAGGAGAAACTTGTAGACCAATCCAAAGGCTGAAGTATGACTGCTGTCTGAAAAGCTGCTCAATGAATTTATCCCTTTTCGGATCTATTAACTGGTATGCAAAAAGATGAATAAAACGAAAACTGAAAGAATTTACAGACAGCAGTAAGGAAGGAAAAGCAAGAAAGCAAATAAAAAGCTATAAAAAATAGATTTCTTTCTTCCCTAGTCCTTCAGTTTCTTCCATTTGTGACTGTAAAGGGCAGGTATTACTTGTGGTGTATTTAAACATATGAAACTGTAAGATGGTTTGCTACAGCTGAATTCCGAGTAAAAATAATCGACTTGGCATAAACTCATTTAATTTTCACGCCTGTTGCTTCTCCTTATTTCATTGTGCAGTCTGGAGGACGGACTGGTGAACATGTTCTGTCCTTTGCTCCCCAGTGCTCTGCGGAATGTGGTGACGGAGTCCGTACGCGTTCAGTGGTTTGTATGACGAACCACGTCAGCAGTTTGCCCCTGGAAGGCTGTGGCAATAACAGACCCTCTGAAACAACTCCCTGCAATCATGAGCCCTGCGCTGGTAAAGTGGAGTGGTTTGCTGGGGGCTGGACACAGGTAAGCTCTGTATCTCACACACGTATTTGCTTTCTGCTGGTATTTTGATTTTAAAAATGTACTTTTGTGCCTTGGAGATGTATGCCGTAAGGTGTTTCTACATCTCTGTGGAATATTTGGGGTTGTTTTTTCTGTATTTTGCTGAGTTGATGTTCAATACTTTTCAGCACGTCCTGTTTTTTCGCTTTGATGAAAGTTTCTGTCCTTCACGATTTCCTGTTCTTTTAAGTTAATTAACTTCCCTTCTTTGCATGAGATTGAAGTGTTTGATGCATACCAAAGTCTTTGCTGTATGTTATCTGAAAGAAATGTCTGACAACATCTATTCTACGGGCCAAAACCTGACTTCTGAATACCAAAATGAAAGCAGACAGTCAGTAGACCAGAGCAGGAGCCCTTCGGTAGATGACCTTCTGTACCGTGCTCTGCTAGCGCTAAGGCTGAACGTTAAGATACTGTCTTTTGGAGGAACCACTAAGAGAGGGCAGCGACAGAGCTGTTCACTGGTAAAGGAAGTCCAGTCACATTATTACCTGTACAATTTATTTGGGTGTGTTCAGCTCAAGGTTTTCATTCAGCTCAAGGTTTGTGTGGGTATCTGGCAAAGGGATCATAAATTCCACCCAAAATATTAAAAAAAAAATCCCCACTTTTAATAACATTTAATTGGTTTAGGCTAGAAAAAGCCTTTGAAAGTCATAGCCCTTTACGCAATATAGAAACCAATACGTTGCTGGAATCATCTTCTAAAAATCTTTTTACAGCTGCCAGGAACAGTACTGTGTGCATGTGTAACCTTTAACGGGCAGCAAGAGCTCACGTGAGTCAAATTTGCTTTTCACAACTGGAACCAGTACTGTATCGCATAGATCCTTGCAAACATGAGAAGAACACCCTGGCAGATCAAGGCGTTTTCTAAAAACCGCACAGAACGTGGGGATTTGTAAAGCTGTAAAACTGACCTTATGACCCTCAAAGGTTCGGTGCAGTGCACACAATCCTGCTTCAGCAAGAAGCAGTAACGCTGTTTATGCATCTCTCTCTGTTAGAAAAAGAAACACCAGTTTCCTTTTGTAGCTACAGGTAAAACTACACTTTTAGATTTGTGCAAAGGCACACTTACAGTCGGGTGTCGTCTTCTTCATAAAAATAATTAGACATACGTTTTGAGTCTGTGGTACCACGTAGAATAAACATGCAGAGAAGTATAATTCTAACTGCTGGAACCATTTTTAAGATTAAAAATTAAATATGTCATACCTGAGTTATGGGTAGTAGACTTAGAGTTAGTAGTCGCTCAATGAATTGAGTCATTACTGTGTCCTTCAGCATTTTCTTGTCCTAGTCCCTGACTGGGCCTGCTGGCTACTAGGTTAGAATTACATACAAATAATAATAATAATAATAATAACCCAAGGTTCCTCTAGGCTACTGTTCTGGTTCTGAGAGATAAAAACCCTATGGCAGGAACTTAAGGAATACTTTACCCTTTTCCTTTCTCTTCAAGTCATATATATGCCAGCAATGGAAGGAAAGACACAGTTAAGTTCATTTTACTGAGGAAAGAAGGCAGAAAAGTAAGGAAATGGATTTTGGATGTTAGTGACTAGATATGTGTCCAAGAATAGGGAATAAGCAAAACTTTGCAAATTTTCCTGTTTGAATATTAATTTAAAATGCAGGTATGTGTGTGTAGGTGTGTGTGTTGGTTTATTTCAGAAACAACATGGAGAAACATGTTACTTTGGAAACACGTTGAAGGACATAAGTAGAATAGCAAATTCCACTACTTTTTTCTGTTCTCTGGTACAGTGCTCTACTGAATGTGGCAGTGGATCTCAACAGAGAGAAGTCATTTGTGTTAGGAAAACCGAAGGTAATTTCGACGTTTTGGACCCCTATGAGTGTTCATATTTGGAGAAGCCTCCCAGCCAGCAATCCTGCTACCTCAAACCCTGTGGGTCTAAGTGGTTTCATACAGAATGGAGCACAGTAAGTCTATCATGCTTTTCTGTGTCTAGTTTTGTTTCATACACGTTTTCCCGTGCATATTGAAAAGGAACACTGTTTGGATAAAACCGCGGGTCATGAAGTTGGCTTAATCTTGCACAGAGATGATACGGTAACTCTTAGTACCCAGCGGAGCTTAGGGAAGTTGGAAGTACCTGGATCAGATACTGCATAGTTGTCTTTTCATTACTGATCTCTTCCAAGAATCTTCCTGTTTTATAAAGTTGGTTTGCCCCTTAATGAGACTGTGTAGTGCACTAAGAAGTTCTTTTCAGACCTCTAGTTTCATTAAAATGAAGACACATTTAATAAAGAATGAGGGATGTATTCAGTTTTGAAGTCAGTTTTACCATAATATTTTACTGTATACCATATTTTACCATAATATTTTACTGTAAACTCTTCACTGTAATACTTCGAACTTTACTGAGAGCAAAGTTACTGTAGAGCTTGACGAGAAGTTTCCCCTGGAAGTGGGCCAGCTACATTCACCAGTGCCGCAAAATTCTTTGGTTTCATCTATCTTTCCATCCTTTCCTATACCTGATGAAGCTTACTGCATTTTTACAAAAAATAACATTTTTTTCTCCTAAATAAAAATCAGAAAGCCCAAGGTCATCTTAGAATGAAAAGTGGTCTGAAAACTACTTAGATGACATCATGTCTAATGGAGTAACTTACACCCTTCCTCGAGCCTTAAATGAAATTCAGAATGACAGCTCTGAAATGTGGAAGCACCTCAGATGCCTTCAGTTTGAGTTCTCTTGGTCAGGAACCTTTGGAAATACCTCATCCACATGACATGAGAGAGAGAAATTATTTTGGTTTTCCATTTTACTAAATGCTAAATGTTGGACGTGGGAAAATTATAATAGTCTATACAGACATGTAACAAGTAGTTATATAAAAACCCACACTGTTGCCACAGGGCTGTATCTTTTCTAAAGTAAGGAAAGGTTGTACTTAAAGATGAAAGGGCAATTTACAAATATATTCTTGAGAGTACTTTTGTTAGTTTGCTACAATCTCTGATTTTATGATAGTGATAATTTGGTTTTGCAATGTTAGGAAAAGAAACAGTTATGCCAAAAAAGTCAGAAGAAAAACTTTCTTGCTAGTTTGGGGCTGTTAAGGTTTTAATCATTATAAATGACGCAGGTTTAATTAAGTTTGTGAGCATTTAGGTCAAACTGGACAGTGAGCCAAATCTCAAAGACCTCGCTCAGGTGAAATTCTTGAAGTCAATAGGGGATTTGCTTGAGTATCGGCAGAAATGTGTAATAATTTGCTTTGAAAATACCGTGAGAAGCAAGTACAATAGTCTCTGGCTTCATAACAGGCTTCGAAGGAGCACAGAAATAGGCAATTAAAATTATTCCTGATTGTATGTAAATGGAGGCAAAAGGGCAGTGGAGGGCTGCCGTGCAGTCAAGGTAAAGTTCAATGCAGGAAGTTCTTAAAGTCAGAACTGTGAACACTGTGGGAAGGGTACATTTGGGAGATATGTACAAAGCAGCAGAGAAGAACAAGACTGATTAGAGAAACACGAAGGTAACTAATAAATTCAGAAGGGGAAGGGTTCTAGCACGCCTGCAGTTGCGCAGTGTCTGCCATGGTTACTCGTCCGGTTGTTGCCCCGGTGGTCAAAACTGTTTTCGAACCTTTCCATGAAATTGCACCTCTATGTTAAGGACTTTATAGTTAGAAAACAAAAACCAGCAGAAGTGGTGAAGTTAGTAAAAGGCTACCGCAATACCTGGGTCTGTCTTCAGGGTTCCCACTTTTATCTTTCTGTATTTGCACATCTCATATGGTCTTCATGAACTTCAGCTTTTGTGTTTTAGTGTTCCAAGTCCTGTGAAGGAGGATTTCGGGTTCGAGAGGTACGATGTCTCTCAGATGACATGACAGCCAGTACTCAGTGTGATCCACAGCTTAAACCTGAAGAAAAAGAACCATGTAACACACAAGATTGTATCCCTGAAATAGGTAAGGAAGAGGAAGCTTCCATTTTAACTATGGAACTCCATCTAGTGGAGAAAATATTTCATAATCTTGCAGAGGTTTTAGAGTATATTTTCCTTACCAAGTTCAGGGGTTTATTTTTACACAAAATACATCTCTTCTATGGTGTAAAAGTAGGTTTTAATTTCTGATTTCTAAAAGTGTTTTCCTTGTAACAAGTAAGCAACCGGTTTACTTTTAAGTTGATGAGAATGTGAGAAATCTGCTTCTGTGACAATGGTACATACAGAGTGTTTTTTATGCAGCCTCCTTGCATTCCCGAAGGTTTCTTTCAGTGGAGAGAACAAAAAAAGGATAATGTATGATATACCGTATTTGGTAACAGGTTCTCTAAGAACCAATAACATTACACTGAGATATTAAGGGCAATTAAGCAATTTTCTTTTATATATAGTAAATACACACATACACATAATTTGGCATTGGAATTACTCATTTCATACAGATTTGATTTTAACAGTAATGCGAATGACTAGGGAAAGGAAGATGCAAGTATTTAGAAACAGCTTTAACTCATGTTCTACAACAATTTTCAGTTGAGAATTATTCTTCAACATAATCGAAGATAACTAAAAAACCGGGTGTACCAATATTATTTTAAAAATTTAGGGTATTTGTGGTGTTGGTTGGTTTGTACAGAATTGCTCATTTTTACATCTGCTATTAGTGTTTTGTCATTCAGTCTTTTTCTTAACACCTCAGTTTCTGTAATCATATGAAAATCTTAATCGTCACTTAAAAAGTATTTCTAACCCTGTTGGTTGTAAATGAAAACTTCCAAACTGTAAACAGACCACAACCTAACAGCTTAGAAAAATGGGAAATGTTAGGAACACCTACTTTTGTCTTTTTTAATCTAGTTATTTTAAACCATTTGTAATATTTGTAAGGAGAGAGATGGTTTACTGTTTTCCAGTGCTTAGATTTGTCAGTACTTGAAAAAACCATTTGCAGATTCTGGTGCCATCTGTACACTGCCGCAGGAGACCAGTACCTGTGAACCTAACACTCAAGTGGACAGGTACCTAAGTGAAGAACACTAGAGACTTTCCTACCATCTTCATTCCAGACAAATTTTGTGGTTAAAAAACCGAGCAACAAAACCCCCCAAAGCTTTGTCCAACAGTATACATGGGGATAGGTACATTTCTTCCACAGTTTTATGTATCTTTATATAAAGTGAAGAAAATCCTGAATAATCTAACTTACTTCCCTAGGCAGCCTATTTTAACCTGACAATGGGCGTTTAAATACCGGTCCAAGGGATTTTACATGGTCACAAGAAAGGGGGTTGGATATTTGTTACGCTAATACTGTTTTCTTCAGTTTCTTCTCTCTTCCTTTTTCTCCACAGATGAGAACTGCAAAGATAATTACTACAATTGCAATGTGGTGGTTCAGGCCCGGCTCTGTGTCTACACCTATTACAAAACAGCCTGTTGTGCATCCTGTACACGTGTGGCAAACAGACAGTCAGGGTTCCTAGGACACAGATAACAAATGCTCTTCTGCTCAGAGCGGCAATGTTGGTCTTCGGACGGGATGAAGCTTGAACAGTGTTACTATTTTGACTACAGCAGGTTTTCGCTTCTTAGAGATGGCTTTTTATATTGCTGAGTACCAAGACTATGGTTAAATCTCACACCCTTTCAGTTACAGTTATTGTGCAGTTATCTTTTTTTAAAATGTTTGTTGTAAAACCATGATCTTTTTAAAGCATTAATATTTAATGATACTATTCTTTGCACCTGCTCATCAGATAATTATTTAAGGAACATACCAGCCTTAGTATTGTGAAATTAATGAAAACTAAATCAATCACAGGCACTTACTGGAGATATTTGACCAGTATGGATGCAGCTGCTGCATTGTTTTCTGAATGCTTACTCTTACTTGGTATTTTGGACTGCCTTAAATTAGATGACTAAATCAATGACACATGCACATGAGAAAAATTACTTCGCAAAGAACCAGACCCTTGAAAACCCATTTAGTTTCTTAGCATTCTAACGTATATTTTTAATTACTTCAGTCCATTCACAATAAATTAGAGTCACTGTTAAGCTCTCAGTTGTACTTTTAACTAACTTCCTGTCCTCAGGCAGCAAATATATATACACTTGACTGCCAAAAAGTGCCTTTATATTTAATTCATAAACTCTTGAAGTTACACTTTGCTCATTTGGTGTGGATTTTAAAATACATTACCTACCAGAGTGCCACTAGTGTCTAGCTCTTTAAGTCTTCAACGACTGCAGCTGTCAGTGAGACAGATTTACCAGAAAGGTAAAGAGCCTTTGCTGGTATAAAGAAGTGATTGTTGGCATTGGCGAGGTCTCTTTCCTGTAGGGCAGTTACTTTGGTGAACTGGTATCTTGCCTAATGTCTTGTCTCTGCACTATTGCTTAACGACCACCATACCAAAGTACTTTGTCCAGACCTAGTCTGGATATGTCACCAGTTTCTGAAACAACCACCAAAGGACGCAGGCTTTTGTGCTTTATAATAGGCTGTTCTCTTGGTATCAGCCAGCAGTATGAGCGTAGTAGCCGAGTATCTGTAAAAAGATCTTAGCTATGGACATTCTTCAGGTTTTCATCAGTTATTACAACATTCTTGTCTTTTTTTTTTTAGTCAGCGTTTCATCCTGCAGATCTATTCACGTATCACTCCTTTTCTGCCACTCAAGAATGGCTCCAGACTTAGAGCTGAATTTAGGTGGTGATTTTTCATTTCTGCAATTACTGTACTCAGCCTGGGAACTTGCTAAAAGCAAACAGCATGTGCTGTGCAGTGCAGATGAAAGTTTTTGCATTATCTGCACATTCTCTAGCCTTTAGCTGAGGAGTCTTTCAAATGTGTAAATAAGGCTAAGGGAAAAAATAAACACCTCTGCTTATTCAGCTGTTTATTACAGCATATTGCTTGTAAATTAGTGATACTCGACTATGCATCTGTTTCTAAGGTGCCTGTTTTCTGAGTTGAAAAACAGTTTTAATAATCTATGTTCAGTCACTCCCAGTGATGTGATATAAGAGTGATTGAGGTGTCCTGCTCTTGATGAAGAGCCATGTTTGGGCCTCGCTGTGTATTCTTTTCTTCTCACTGCTTTGGTGGAGAGAATGTAGAAGAGAGAATGGGGCACTGGGAAGCAAAGGCTGTTGGTTGTGATACTAGTCACATCGGTTTGTGTGCTGGAAGCCGCAGGAAGGGAGAAGTCCTGTCGTCTAAAAGCTGCCTTGGATTGAGACAAACCTTAGATTTTTTTGATGTGGTGACTCGTGAAAATATTTCTGACATGATGAACTACTGCTGTTTGGCTAAGTGAAATTAAGTGTTTCCCCTAACATTTTAAGTTAGTCTTTATGACTGTCAGCCAATAGTGTCATGGGCTGTTTCTGTACACCTTCATTGGGCTTTTTAATTGATATAAAGCTGTTAGAAACAGAAATGCTCATTAGAAAACTTTCCATTTGAGTTCATGAATCTTTCACAGTCTTATTCCCATGTATGATGAAGATAACTTTCAGATTTGTGATCATATTCTATACCTTAGATTCTTGACCAAAGAATGATATGGAGAAAGTGCGGCATAAACAACTCTGGAATCCAGTATTTGTAAATTCAGATTTTCATCCGAATATCTCATTGCAGCCAATCTTGACATACAGTGTATAATTTTTGCTGTTGTCTCTTTTGTCCCAAGGAAGCGTGTCCTGTCAGCTTGCGGGAAGTATCTGTGCCATAAAAAGGCTTTCTGAAAACCACGAGGCGAATGAAATGCAGAGAGGCAATCAGGTTTGCAGTCAGCTCATAGAAAATAGTCTGCTTGCACACACTTTTGGCTGAGACGCTCAGCGACTCAGCACATAGACGGGCAATCGTGGTCCTTCATAAAATGTCATTTTGCTCTGGAATATGTGACCATTGGGTAATTTTGCAAAGATTATCATCTTGTAGGCTCCATTAAGCTGCCGCTCAAGTAAACAGAGTTCATGGGAGCTAAGTATCAAAGAATACATACATACACAGAGCAATATAACCCTGTGTTACACCTAAGGTGTGCAGCTTTGTGCATTGAATGCAGTGAGTTGCGGTTACACAAGTTGTACTTTTTTCTTTTAGTAAAGGGACTATTTTCAGATGTACCAGATAAAACAAAAAAAGCTTCTTTCACCTAATTAAACATCTAATGATAAGGAAACTGCCAGAATGTTGCTGAACTTATATCATCTCTTCTTGTGTGTCAGCGTAATCAAAATAGTTGTTCCTGCAAAATGAACCCTTCTTTTCAGCACTTTGATGTACCATCTACACAAAGTGCTATGCTAAGATTTCACCCATCGCACAAAGTGCACTTCTGAAATTGTGCCTATAGCAAGTGTTTGTCTTAATAGAGCAGTGCACCAATTTGGGATGATGTCTAAAAGGGCCTGACGTTACTTTCACTGTAAATCAGAGGTGGCCTTCACGAATGCAGTAGACTTAGAGCAGGTGTAAAACCAATATAAGTAAGAAATTATGCAGGCTTCTGAGTTCGAATGCTTTAATTTCTTTTTCTGATATTTTAACTGGTCAAAATCCTGCAGAGTGGTGCATAAAAATGCTTCCTTGCCTTAAAGATTGTGACCTTACACCATCCAGTAGGATCAGAGTAAGTGTAGGAAGAGTACTGTAGATCGTTGATTTAAAGAGTCAAAGCAGTCTAACTGCTTACCAGGTAAAATCAGCATACAGCCTTCATGTCTTGCAGACATGCAGCTGGCCAACACTGGCTCCATCCAGAGCAGGCTCTGTGTCTCAGAGCACTTTCCTTCTGGAACTGAGCACTGCTGGTGCAGTTGTTTATCAAGTTACCAAAGGTCCATCAGGGTTTGCTAGCTCCTGCACGATGTCAGATCCAAGCCTATGTAGGTGGAATTGCTTGTGTGTAGCAACTGCACGGCCCAGTTTGGGAGCACTTATTAGCAGCCCTGCAGGAAGGGGTTTCTCCCTTCCTCTTGCTGGCTGAGAAAACTGAAGATGACGGCGTGGAAGCATGCGGGTTGCTCCTGTGGGAACGACCCCGTGTCTGACTCAGCCAGCAATGAGGCAGAGTTAGTACTTGCTTCAGTGTATCTGACCTTCCGTCCCCAGGGCTCTGAATTAGGGAAGGGCCCGTTAGCAGGCAGTTGAGTGCTGAGGGGTGCAGCACAGGAGTGTTCTTGCAAGCTTGCCAGCCTTGCAGTCCAGCTGTAGCGTATGCCCGCTGACTCGATGCAGGACTACCTCAGTATCCCTGCACAGGGAACTAATGTCTTCCTTATTACACGCATCATCTTTTTTTTTTTTTTTTTTTTTTTCCCAGTACTTCAGCAAATAGAGAACTTGCTGGATGAATAAAGCAGAGTTTCATTAACGTTAATGTTGTTGGTTAGATCCCACTTTTAGGACAATATGGTGCAGTTCAGTTTGGTTCTTTTATACAGAACAAAACCAATGCATTACAGAGCAGGTTAAGTTAATGACATGTTAATGCAAAGGCATATCTGAGGTCGCTTGTTCAAAGACTCAGTACAAGTGGTCAGTATAGCTGACTGGAGTACCTGAAACTCATAGAACACATGACCACGTGGGGCAGCAGTATTGCCAGGACCTTCCTACTTAACCGTGCTATGTCCAAGTCCTAGAAGGCACCAGTGCTCAGCACTGACGGGGAAGGAGGTAGGTGCCGGAAACAGCTTATGCCTAGTAAAGGTGAGGTTATTCCTTTCTGAAGGAAATAGGTTGCTTCCACTTTTTATAATCTATACCACCTCAGGTAGTAAAATGTGCTTTCCAGGGCTTTGCGTTTCTTCATCCTCATCCTGACCTGTCTCCCTTTTACACCCACAAGTGTTCTCCCTCTTACCTCACCTCCATCCCTTTGTCCTTTGGATGGTAATACTCAATTTTGCCAGAATTACTGAAAATCCTGAACTGGCCGTTTGGTTGATAAGAGTCTGTGTTAGAAATAAATCCAGCTATTAAGAGAGCTGTATTCCTGCCAGTCCAGTGATTTCGTGTTTGTGTCTGTCCATGTTGGCTAGTTTTAAATGCACAGTATGCAAGCACCCACTGAATTAATTCCTGTGCAATGAACCTGTGCTTGCACAGCTATTGAAGTATGCAGTCGCCCTTCATTCTCACATCTAACATCTGTTGCATATAAAAAAAAAGAGAATTATCCTCTTCGCACTCAAAAAGGAAAAACTATGTGTCTGTCTGATTTTCTTGGGACTTACACTTGGTGTCTCTGACTTCCTAAGAGCTGTTCTCTGTGTAGGTTAGATAATTTATGTGTATGTCTGTAATTGGAACACAAAATACGACATTTTGAACACTGAAAGTAAACTTCCTTTATTCCTAAGCTTACAGAGAATGTTTGTAGGGGGAATACATTAGCTGTTGTTTAGAAAATGGAGTAAAAGAATTATTTCTGTATCAGAAATGAAAAATCACCCTCTAAGCGTTTTCAATAAATTTTAAAGCAAACTTGTCATCATTGTAATATCTCAGTAGTGTGGGTGAAATTCAGACCTGCTGAAAGGGAGAAAAT